CCGAAAATATGTATGTACTCATGTTGTCCGGTGAATCCACTCGAAGTACACTTCCAAGTTTGTTTTTTTGGCTAAGTCCATTCCTCAGAAAACACTTAGAATGTTTTGGCTCTTTAACCGCGTTATTTCAAAAAACCGTGTAAAAAAAAACCGCGTTATTTCAAAAAACCGCGTAAAAAAAAACCGCGTTATTTCGAAAATCGTCGTAAAAAAACCGTGTAAAAAAAAACCGCGTAAAAAAAACCGTGTAAAAAAAGACTTCAGTGTATTTAGTTTTTTAGCTGTTTGGAATTTTTGGGCTATTTTATAGTATTTTATTCGTTTCTGTGCCATTCTTTGAGGGCTACAACATGGTGAGTTGACAACCTGAAAGGAGTATGATTCCTAGCTCCGGTCTTTACAAGTCCCTACCTCACGCCTTCACGAGTCATATGATTACAAACGACTACCAGCTGAAACATCGACACAGCTGGGTGGCGTAGTCTGGGCAATTTTATCAATCCGACAATAGCAAAGTGAGGAGGTGCGAAGGGAAGACTGATGCGGTAGAGGAAATGCTTCGCCTCCGAACGTCTGTACACCACGGAGGTGCAGCTCAAAAAGAGTCTGACTGGCATCCAGCGGCTGAATAAGAAATTCTCTTCCCCGGAAGTAACACCTAAGATGTAGGAACAAGGTTATCAGTTAGGTTCATTATCAAGGTAAGCTACCGTATATACTTTCGCAAAATGATAGCATATGCATATAAAACATTATATTATTATATGAACCAATAAATGGTGGGAAGGGGAGGGACCACCAGGGCAACCAATTGAAGCGATTTGTATGGGGAGAGTGAAATTGTCAACTCCCTGTTGTATCCTTCTGTCGGACGGCTCGTTTTTTGAACAATTGTATGATCATGTGGCTGGTAGGAGATTATATATCATCTCGTGGGGAGACGAACCAGCCCAGAGCTGAAAGTCTCCTTAATAAAGATAAAAAAAAAATCATCTCGTGGAGGCGTATAGACCTTTTTGACGTTTAATCATCTTTCTCTATCTAGCAAACATGGATGCATGGACGGTTTGTTTTCCCACTAATCTGTTTCCTTCTTGCTCGCACTCGTGCGCTTTAAATGGTACAGTAGTGTGCGCCGATTAAACGTCAAAAAGCTCTATAGGTGAATCACCTATCGATCCACCAAAATCGTTTTTGGCCCTGCATACATACCGAGGACAATCAGAGGTTATTAAGCTTGATCAAATCAAACAGTGAGGATCGCCCACTGCTATCGGACTTAGTTTTCGTGCTACACTGAGTGGTAGACAATTACCATACTATAAGAACACTATCAAACTTAGCTTTGGGCATGGAGCTGGAAGGCCGAATTTGCGTGAAATTGTTAATTTCGTTAAGGCTCTGTCGAGGTATCATACATTTTATATCGAGGATAATTTTCCACCAGACCTGTGATTTGATATGTATACTGCAGTCATATGGATGTGCAAAAAGAAATACGTACATCGCTGCATTTCCTCAATCAGAAGAGGAATGTATTATATCAGGAAACCAGAACCGTGTGTTTTGTTTGTAATAGGGAGGGGCCCGGATCAATTCTTACCCCAAGCGTTTCCGCTCGGGAACGGCCAGGTGTGTTAGCCGGAGGTGCCACAACGGAAGCAATTGAGGTTATTAAAGAAGTAGTGATGGTAATCAACGTGACGACCCCGGAGACTGAAGAAGAACAAACAAGCGGAAATCAGGTTCAGCAGCAGTGCGCAAAATAGTCAGGTTCAATGAGTCATTTTCATATGAATATGAACTGCCATCTGCCTCATCATTCATTGCCTTGTGAGAGCCTGAATGATTGAGAGATAAACGAGTCACTGACAACCGAGCACTCAGTCTGTAGCTCAGTCAGCAGGTTTATTCTTCCGCAATGGTACCCAATCCTTGTTTTGAATGACTGAGCGTACATTTTCTATGGAAAATGCCTCAATTACATGCTATGTGAGCGAAGACACGCGGTGTGAGTCGCCTGTTCGTGAGTGACTGAATATTGTTGTTGCATCTTTCATTGCCTCGTCCTTTACCATTTGGTACTAAAGCTGGTATCAAATTCAGTTTTCAGTTTGCTCTCACTGATAGCAGAATTAGTTTTCAATGTGATGTCATAGGAAGATTTGTTTGCTCTCAATTTTGATATTTTAACCGTTAAAACGACCAAAATGATAGCAACCTGAGTAATCATTATCAGCAAAATCACAACATCAAATTTAAATTTCAATTTGATCTCAGGCTTTGCTCGGGTAGTGACCCTTGTTTTTATTAATTAAAAACAAAATTAATAATCGGCTCCGTAAAGCTAACGTGATTGAACCTTATAAATAAACGAATGAAAAAAAAAGTTCTACCTACTCGATGAAATTTTGCTCAATGTTCCGAAGAAGTGTATTAATTCGTAGAGCTTCGTGGGACCTCATATTATCATGTGAGATTTGTAGAATTTGTTTGCACAACTCGAGTCCGTAACAGCCTGGATAACAATAATGTTTAAAAGAACGTACGAGATTACACTTTTTGTTACCTACTAGGTGAATCTTTGTCATTGTCAAATGAATGAGATTTCAACGGAGGTGTTTTTGAGAATCAATCCTTCCGGTGGGAATGTCAAAAATAATTATGTTAAAATCGCGTGAAAGCTTTCAACGACAATGAAAATTCTCAGCACTGCTTATGATGACATCTACGCTGGAGATGAACATTCGAGATCCAGTTAAGTTCGTAAAGTTGAAAGGGTTATCCGTGTTACATTGATGGAAAAGTTCAAGCTGCGTGTTGACATCCAACGATTAAGTTTTGTTTACATTGAAGGTAAGACCCACCTCATAGGAGCGTTCGGCTAGGTCGTCGAGCTTGCTCTAGCCTAGTCTAGTCTAGTCTACTCGTACACAGCCAGTATTGAAAGAACTCTGGAAAATGTTAGAAATACATCACTAGGTCGTCAAGCTTGCTCTGCTTATTAGGAGCACTGTTGTGTTAATTTGAGCAACATCATCAACCAAATTGAAGTAGTTAAGGTGTTAATAGTGACAGGCTGCCAAAGCAGCCCACTTTACGGCCATCAGCCGTTTCGATTTTTCGATCCGCAGCCCTCAAAATTTAGTATTTCAGCAATCTTGTTCCACATGGTCATGAATAGAAATCATACCCGAGTAAAGTCCAGCATCAAAATGACAGAAAATCGATATTTTGATATCAACATCAAACTGAAATCATAATTTGATTTCAGTTTCCGTAATTGACAAATTTGATAACAATTTTTTTCAAATTGAGTTTTCAGTTTACTCTCACTGATAGCAAAATTAGTTTTCATTGTAGTATCAAAATTGTCAATTTGATATTCTGCCAAGGCAATAAAAAGAACTGCAACAACATTTTCAGTTCCCAGAAAACTAGAATGCACGCATATCAACGTTATTTCTGTGATATACAAACATGCGGGATGCTCACTATGCCCCACCTGTTCACTATGCCCCTCCTCCCCTATATACAATCAAACAAATCTTATATAAAGGCCACATACGTGCAGATATTAATTTATTTTTAAACGGTTTGATTTGACGATTTAATATGTAATGAGGCATATAGTTTGACAAGCCTTACGACTTTATTCGATTTTATGTGTGATACAGTACGGTACAACAATGTTTCAGCGCTTATAAGTCAATAATTTGCATTCTATGCGATTCAGCTTGAACAAGATGCGATGTATCTCATTCTTATATGCGATGTTGACTTAGTCTGTAGCAATTCACGATTCTATCTGTAAATTATTATACTACTTCTGATTGTCTCGGTTCTTGATTTGCTGTAATAATACACTACCGACAATCAACAGAAAATTTAGATGTAGATCGAAAGGACAGCAAAACGAAAACAAAATTTGATATCATATTTGTCAATCGTAAACTGAAATCAAATTTCAATTTCAATTTGATGTTGACATCAATACTAGATTTATATTTGATATTATTTTGATGTTGGACTTTGATCGGGTTGTGCCTCAAGGCGTCCTACCTATTCTCGTGATTGAGTCGATTTAAAGCTTTTTCGTAGACAACGAATACCAAATACAGGGACTCTTGGATATCATTGACCTGCACCAAGATGTTAAGGAGTGTGACAGTTAGGTCCATATTCTCTTGTATTCGATTCAGAATTATTTCGCACAAAACTTTCAGACCAATACACAGTTTTCCAGATATTATAGCATAGATGGACGGATGTTATGGATGGATCCGTTTTGGTTCCATTATAATACTCAACTATAGACAGTGGATCTAGACCGGTCTTAGCTATTCTTATGCAGCCAAACCTGCTAAAATGTCAAGCCAAACGAACATTGACAGATTACCGATTGTTACAATTTGAGCGTGTCGGCAGTTTCTGGATTCAGCCTCCTTACTTATAACCAGGGTTGCTTCGACTCACTTGCTATAAAAAATGTTTTTTGAAATTATGAAATCATTAGATGTTATAATGATAATTAGTACAAGAAGAGGTTGTAAATTATGTGTTTGACACAGAAAACCTGTCAAATTAACTTGCAGAGCGTCGTAATCATCGATTTGAGTGAACGCTCACGAATCATAACATTGCTTATTGTGACGCTCTGAAAGCGAAATTGACAGGTTTTATGAATCACACACATACTTTACAACCTCGGCTTGTCACAAACACCTACACAAAGTTTAGTTCATAGTTAATGCACGTAAACATATTATTGAAGTTTTAAATACCAGTACTTGTATGTAATATTGTTTGCAATTTTTATGTACCTCCGGTTTGGTAGTTCTGAGCAAAAAGTTTGGCTTTGAATGACTCGCGTGTGTTGAAATACAACCATCTTTCGAATGACGAAAAAAATCATCGAAAAAGGCTCAAGTTACCGATAATCAATCTTTGTTTCCCGTAACTTCATATGCTTGATAAAGTTTCATTAACACACAACTTACGTCACAGCATTTAATCTCTACAGTTGGTAATGATACGGGTCTTAGATACTCGGTGGAAACAGTAGTATACTTGTACAGTAGCTCCGTTAGCAGTTCCTCTATTTCCCACAGCAGCATCAGGAACTCCTGGTCACACAAATCCCACGTTTCTATAATACTGTCGTAATGTTCAAGAAAATACTTCGTTTCGATGATAAAATTGTACACCTGTAAAATTGAAAACCAGTAAGGTGTAAGGTAATAGAATCTTCCGTTGATCGGCGAAGGTTACTGACCAATTTCCAGTTGGCAACATCTTCGGGCGTTTTCGCACTACGCAGATATTTTACCGTATCTTCCAGAATCATTTCACCCACTTTCTATTCCAACACAAGCTGGCAATCGAGTGAAGAAAGGGCATTCGAAATGGAAATCGAGCTTCAACAACTTACGTAATGTGGCTATTAATGGTTCTAAGTACATATATGGGATCAAGTCAATCGAAAGTTGTGGAGGTAGTTGTCATCGTAGAAAGAAAGCGCAATTGGTTAAGGTTGTATTAAATTGATAAGTTTAATTGGTAGCGCACGTGTTCGACATACTATCACAATCCGTTCGTTCGTTCCTTCGCATTCTTACATTAATTAATGGATACATACTTAACGATAGTTACAACGCAAACGTGTCCAACGTGATCATTATCTTTTTCAGGATCTTCTTCAGATACAAACACAGATAACGATCGGCGACCGTTCCATACTGTACATATTCGTTCACCCTTCGGTTGAAGAATGCTAATTTTAGTAAAGCCGATTTAAGCTGAAAACGTCATGAAATAAACGAAAGAGATTGGGTTCGGGTAAATAAGCTTAAGTCTTGATCAACAACAGAAAGTTTAGCGGTTACCTCACAGTTGTCTGTTTCCTCAAATGTTGACTTCTTATGGCGACACGAGTGATGATGTAGCCTCAGATCCTTGACACTGTGAAACTCTTGCTGTAGGATTGAAAATCAAAACAGACAGACATTGTTATTATTTATCGACTTTCTAATTCAAAAATAAACTGCACTCGTGTTCAGGTTTTCCCTTGTTGGCACCACTTTCAGGAAGATAAAAATATCCTATTGTTCAATTCGCGGAAGTCTAATTTTAAAACGATCGATTTCAAGTTCGGCCATATGATCTGAAATCAACTGAAGCACGATCACGAACTTACCCCGCAACACTGTAAATTGAAGAAATTCACATGTTTCCGCCCTCCAACGCCCTCCAGTGAGAGTGTGGTAAACTTTGAAAGTAGCTGCGTCACATTCTCATGAATTTCGATCAAGTAGTGCAGGAAGAAATTCCCAGACAAGTCCCAATGGCTGATGATCGAATCAAACTCGTCCAAGAAGTACTTTGTCTCGGAGATGAATTTCTCAACCTGCGAATACAAATTGATTCCATTACGTAATCACTTCTTCTGCCTTGTTTGCACCAATTTTTGAACTCACATCCTTGTTTTGAATAATTTTCTGCATTCTGTCTTAGCACGTATTTAAACACACCTATTTTTTGGACCAAACTATTTTCCAAATTTGTGTTGGAAACAAAATTGCCCCAAAATACTGTGAAGTTAATGCGCCGCTTGCAGTCTTATATTAGAAAGCGTTAGGAACGAACGGATGTCAGTCTCGAACTGTGAGGTGCTAGTCTTCCATCGTAGGAAGGAAACATTTTCTTTTATTTATTTTTTTCTTCGATGATACAGTCGATTTTAGTGATCTTCGAGATATTTCCTGCCTTGCCAATCGGGTTGGTAGCGGAAGATGCGAAATTTAGAAATTTTCGGCTTTCAACACATACCTACATGCGTTGCTCGCGAATTTAAGAACGTAGACAAAACGGAAGGGACGCCTACAAGATTACGATCGGCAATCGCTGATGATCGTACTGGGGAACATCGGATAATCGTTTTTATAAATGTTGGTTGGTTGGTCATCTTTATTACCGAAACTATCAGCCAAAGATTATTTAAAATGGTTTTTTGATAGCCGAAATTTATAAGGTTAGAACTTCAATGAATTTGATATTTTCTTCAGCATTCTTTTCAAGTTGGTGAGCAGGTCTAGGGTGTACTCTTCTCCGAAATTGATGTACTCATTCAAGCGGTGGCGCATATGCTGTAGTTTCGCAAGAGACGATTTTCGCTGAAAATATTAGAAAAAAATCGTTATTAATAAACAAACTGTTCAAAGCCAAAATGGTGCATTTGTCTTTTTGCAATTTTCAAGTTTTTTTTTCCATTACCAAAAAAAATCCCGCTGATTCGGCTTTTTTCAATTTAAGGCGACTTCCGAGTTTTATATTAGCCGTATAAATATTAGCCCCTTACAGCAAAAAGGCGAATTAGTAAGTTGATTTTTGATTACTTGTTGGGAAATGGAAATGGAACCTATCGAACCCATCAACATATGAGCCGGGACCAATGGCTTTACTTTCCTTTCGAAGGTAATCGTGACCTGAGATTTTTTCGCATAAGAACAAAGCCATCGACCTCGGCTGGGATTGAACCCAGAAACACTGGGGTGAGAAAGCAGTCAAATTTACCAATCACCGTCGGCGCTGACATAAAAAAATCCTTGAATCTGCCTTTTTTCATATGTTTCTGGATATACTAAGGATCATGGTGGTTTCGGAAACAATCTGGAACATCTGGAACCCGGTTACAATGACCCAAATGTCCCCAATATGTATTATTTTAGTACTAAAACGAGACAATGAAGACATTGACATTGACCTAAATGTCAGAAATATGTTATGCACTGGATTTTTTTTATTTAAACGTGTACGTCTACTTTTTTACACGTTTTTTACACAGGTCTATTCGCTTTGCAATTCACGCGGTTTTCGAGATTAACACGACTCCAGTAGTACTTAAATGGAAAAAAAAGTGTAGCAGATTCTAAGAGTTATTTCCTATCGATTGGTGTATTTAGGTTTTTATTTCATCTATAAAGGACAAAGTTGCAAGCGTTCAAACTGAACACCTTTTCGTGACGGTCGTAATTTTAGATTTTTGACTTATCCCCTGTACCTTCTCGTAAGATGTAGTCTACGACAAAAAGACTTCCACTTGATATCCATTTGGGATTATTCGAAATCCGTGAATCTGCCTTTTTCAGGTGGTTCCGGATACAACCTTAAACATCCGGAACCGGATGCCAATGACCCAATTTTTTTTTAAACTATCGGTCAAAATGGGCTGAAGGGAGTACTTTAAATTGATTTGAGTGTTACGGTGGGGGAAAGAAAAGTTGAAATCTACTTATTTGAAACACTTTTTTCAAATATTTTGAAAAACTTCGAATATTATTTTATGTTTGACCTATGTTATGTTGTGTTAGTGGGCCGTGTTATTTTTTTTACCTTTATTACGTCTCCTTTGTGACTTTATTCCGGGTTTCAACTTATGTCGTTTCCGGTTTTAAGCCTGGGTCAGAGTCGCCGTTGACTCTCAATAAACGAACGAAAATGGATTCGTGTTGGATCTGGGTTCGAGTCAGTATGCTGGAATTGGTGCATTCATTCGAACTGTCAGCTCAAAGTTAGAATGAAAATCAGGAAAATCATAAGGTGTTTTTCCAGTTTACTTAAATGTCTGCACTTTCCTCAATTTTTGCCGCACTTCTTCTGCGATTTCCAAACTTTTAAATTTCATTAGCGAATAATGTAAACATTTGATTTTGACAGCTGTCCTTGTGCATTGGTGAACCAAATTTGGATCTAAAAAAAAATCGACAGAGCACACCTCATTGAGTTTGAGTCAGACCCAGGGGGAAAGTCACTGTGCCACTTTGTGCTTACACCCACAGAAACACACAGCAAAACATAAATTTTAATACATATTACATCCAAGAGGATGCACTACAATCGAAAATGTCGAAAATCGCATGTAATTTTTATGGCCACACAAATAAACAAATGCAGTAAAAGCAGTGAAATGTCAGTTCATGCACTGTATAAATGATAGTTTTGTTCTTTTTGGCAAGTAGTATTACACCATATTTTTGACACGATTGAAGCTTTCAACTCAGTTTAACGAGAAATTGAAAGTAAAGAAAAACAATTGAATAATAAGAACTCCTTTAAAAAGGGGCCTTATAATCATTATACTCAGAATCAATTACCTCCCATCCTAAGTAACCAACAAGCCCGCTAATCACCCTTTAAAATAATATGGTAAATATACTAGGGTATTTTAGAGCTCCAAACTTTACAATATTCATATAACAATCAGCTTTATAACACAAAAGGGTAATTAGCGAGTCTTGGGATATACTATGAGGTCGGATACATAACTGATGGCAGGAATACTGCATATTTTCTTATTATGAGTAGCATTTTTATTGATGATAAATTTTGCCCATTATAAAACATTCCCGGTAGTAGGAACCCTATTAGAGACAAATGACCAAATTTGACCCAGAAAATCACAAAACCTAAAGTAGGGGAAAAGTTGGCTTCGGCAATACCTTAACCTATTATCGTCAGGGGGTAAACAACGTCCTTGAGAGCTCAATTTTGGCATGTAGATACATTGTGTTTCAGAGCAACTATTGGCCAAATTTGAGTGCTCTAGGACTTTTTTTTACCCCCCTGACGATAATAGGTTAAGGTATTGCCGAAGCCAACATTTCCCCTATAACACGTTCACAAGTAGTTTATGATAGCTTTGTTTTTTGCTCAAACATAACGGTGACCCGAAACAACGTTTCTGTTTTTTTCCATAAAACTAGACAATATTTTTTCCAAAGTTTCATAACAATATCTGAAAAAAAATAACCGAAACGGGTCAAAGCCCATTTTTCCTAAGGCTCATTTTTAGGAAGTTTTTACTCTATTTGTTAGAATTAAAAGTACAAAAAAGTAGAAATTTTCTGAAATATTATTCTGGAATTGTGATCCTTATTTTTTCAGGTTCAGATAGATTTTCTTGAAAACAAATTAAGGTTTTTTTTTATCATTTCTGAGTCATGGTTTCTAAATTGAACACAGTTTAAGCTCCTTTAAAAGCAATAAAAGTATTGTTCTTACACAATTTGTTTCAATTAAATTGACAACACTGAATGCGATGAAAGATAATTCTTACACACACCTTCGTAATGCGGTGTGTAGAAAAAAGGTAATTAAATCAGTTTCATCTTATACAATTGTTCGCGGCTCGCATTTTTAGCGATGAAAATGATATTATTTAAGCAAGTATCGTCTTTAAAAGTGAATTAACTTGAAAGTGCTTGTAGAAGCACGTGTTGTAATTGCTTTAATTGTGGTTCCGAGAAGTGAAAACAGGTATTTAAGGTTCATATCCTGAGCAGAACAAAATCGACTGATCGAACTTTTGAATGCATATATTACGTATGCGTTAATAAATTTGCAGTATTTTGGTGGAAAAGTGTTACATATGTATCCAGATCTTATTCATACAATTCTGGCCCATTTTTTAAGGTATGTAGAGCTTCAAGATCAGATCTCCGGAATGATTTGAAGTATCAAAAATATGTTGTTAACACAATCATATATTTCACAGGACGTTAAGAAACTCCACGAAGTGCTAAGGATTTAAACATTCAGTCTGGGTAAAAATCAAGATCTTAATTCCAGGACAATCTGGAGAATCATAGATGTTTTGGTAACACAATTATACTCACATGATGTTACGGGTCTCCATGGGGCGATTAGAATTAGATTATGAATTTGGTTCACCGTACAAGACATCGTTGAGCCTGTACAACTTCAAGATCTTAACATTAGGATGCTTTACAGAGCTAGAAATATTATGTGAACATACAGCCATTCCGTAACAAAACGCTATAGTGGTTCTCACAATTTCGTAAAAAAAATTAATTTTGTTCCTTGTTGCTAAATATTAAACTCGTATTTTTTATTCTATCATTAGGGCGACCATTTACATGTAGGGTGGTCCGAAAAATCGATTTATTTCAAAAATTACTTTTGCCAAAAACATTTTCAATCTCAAATTGCCGAAATCATCTCAACTTGCTGAAATCAGTAAAATAATTTAAAGAACTAATGGCATTCACATTTAACATTGCCGGAAACGGACACATTCCAAACTTTATTTTGGCCGAGAATACGTAAAATACCTTTCAGAATGAAATCGACCAATCTGCTAGGAGCCTTTGGAAAACGAAAATGCTAGTTAAGCTGAAAAGAAGGTTGAAATAAAGGACGTTTTTCAATAAAAAAAAATGTTGTTAAATTGTGTCCTACCTAATCAAAATCTCGACCATTATTACAAATAAAAGCATAAAAATAATAATAAATAAACTGCCAGATGCCGATAAACGGTAAACCATTTTTCCGAAGGTTTGGCAAAATTTGACAGTTGTGGTAAATTTTGTTTTGCCGATCTCACGGCAATTGAATGTTTTACCTAAATGTTTGCCGAATCGCGATCAATTATTTTTATTAACATTGATTTTGAAACTTTTTATATCCTTTACAACGAACTACATAGCATTTTTTTTTACAAAACCAGAGATTTCGAAAATTCATAGGACTTCGATAAACCTCGTAGATCCTTGAGCTTGGGCCAAGGTTTTAGACCTGATATTAATAATCATGACGTAGGCTTTAGATATATTTTCAAGATCTAGGGCATGAAAATATTATAAATGATTTCAAGCACGTGCAAAGTTAGAGGATTCTAGGACTTGGGAGATTTTACAGCGTTTTAAAACTTTCAATGTCTCGAAATTTGGAAATATGGCACATTGAATTTTTGTCGAGATTGTTGAGACTCAAGATCCCAGACTTGAAACGAATTTCTAACCAAATAACACTTAGATTAGAAAACAAAGTAACATTATTACCTCTAACGAATTTGTGTATCGTATAAATGGTTCGTCATGTACGGCTTTGTAATGCTTCCTCAGGTCTGCTGCATTATAGAACGCCAACTAGGAGAGGAAATTACAATCCATTAGTGCAAATAATCGTTTTATAGGCTAAACGAAATTTAACACTTACCCCACAGCAAAACAACTCCTTATCCGATTTTGCACTACCGTCATCATATGGAGCCGCTTCGAATTTCAGCAATAGTTGCTTGACCTTTGTACGAATCTCTCGCAGATAACTGTGAAACACTCCCCTGTACGGGTCCTTATGAATGATGATTTGGTCGTAGTCCTGCAGAAATTGTTTTACGTCTGTCGTTATTTTGTCCAACTGGAAAAACACAAAAACGGTTCTGTGTTATTGTGATTTTCTTTTGTTATACAGTTAACTAACGTTTCTATATTTATGGCTGTAATTATACACCGGCTGATGTACGTAAGTCGTAACTCGAACCATTGTTAAGTGATCTGTCCCTGACACTCTCCCGATCGAAAGTGAAAGTTCTGGCTTTCAGTGAATTGGATCGTTTCTTCTATCCTGATTAAAATAGACACGATGATATTGTAGAACATTTAAATCCTTTTTGGTATTTGTTATGTGAGAATGTTTTACACCACGGCGTCATTCAATGTGGAGCTATGCGGTGATTTAGATTTGCATATAAACCGAGTGAACCGTTTGTTTGGTTCCACGCTGCTACGTAGATCTTATTGAATGTTCCTATTTACTTACATATGGAATTGTTATGCCTTATGATACCATGTTTATATGTGAAAATGTGAATTGACGTACAACAAAAAATAGACAAACTGCTATAAACCTCATCATATCATTCTGCTCCATGCACTATTGTGCCTTAGAAGTCTCTGGTTTTTCACACTCCCTTTTGTGGATTCGTATTTTAGTTGCAAGAAAACTGTTGAAACTATGATTTTGAAATACAGTCAACTCTTCCTAACACGATATTAAAGGGACTATCGAGTTAGGGACTTTATCGAGTTATGGAGGTAGATTTAGGAAATGTATATGGGAAAAGTGGTCAAAGTAGCCTGGATTTCCATCAAGTAAGGGAGTTGAGGAGAGTTGTTTGTAGTACACTGCCTTGTGCGGCATAGCAGTCCCATGAGATTTTTTGGCGAAAATGAGTTATACATACATTGGAATCGATTGTCAAGTAGGTGTCATCACTTTACAATGTACACGAAATGTTCCCTACTTTGTTCAGAAAATGTCGTGAAATATACCCAAAACTATGTTGTAAGAGTCTATGGAGAAAAAAAATGTTCAACAGCGTTTATCACAGCTTGCTGTTTTAACGAATGGGACAACTACTGAAAAGGGCAGTACAACCCACATAAAATCATACTAATTATGCATTATGTCGCGGATATTCTTGTATAACAAACTATGAGCATTATTTGTATAATAATTATTATGAGCACTATACAAAAACTATACAAGAACTGGACAAGTGTGATGATGGATGAGCATGAGTTTTATTATACAAATAAGGCTCATACTCATAGTTTGTCATACAAGTGTATCCGAGGCATAACGATGCGGTTAAACGTGAGGCTGATTGTAACCGCATCTTCGTCATTGCCAATGTTTGAATACCGTCATATAAAGTCTTTCGAAACTTTTGTTGTATAAGTATGTAAACGTAAATCATCTTGCGCTTTCCCCCGTGATTTGGGCAGCAAACTATATTTTAAAGAGTCTACTGAGAAGTGTGAATTGGACCAGGGTCTCTAAGAATATTAAATTCATAGCGTAAATTTTTCAGAACCATGAAATTTATTAATTGGCATAGCCTTAGCATTTACAAAAGTACACAACACTTCGCTCAATTGGGATTCTAAAATCTCTCCAGCGATATATCAGATGATCTGGCTTGGTCGACCCGTTATCCTTCACCGGCCTATCAAGCTCGATAGTACGGCTTACATTTTTCAATAGTTTCTGCAGATTTACCAACAATACAGCGCTATGCTCCTTGCCATAGTGCAAATATTCCTCCAAGCGCTTTCGAAAATGTTCCATCTTTCCGAATCCTGATCCCAACTGAAAACCAAAATACATATATATTCAACGTTTAAAAAAACACTATTCTGTCACAACTAACCTCCACAATGCTCGAATGAACCAACCGAGGGGTGTTGTGAAACCGGAAATAGTGCTTCCGTAATTCGTTGCGATTTTCAAAAAGAGTCCCACAGCAAAACAGCTCCATGAACAGTTGATTTCGGCAGCCATCGATTCCGATTCGATGAAACTTCGATATCAGCAGCTGTAGGTTGGTTTCAATTTCCTGCAAATGACGTGCGAAGTTCCGTCGATAAACGCACCGATGTTCGACGACCCTGTCGTACTCCTCCAGGAAATGTTCCACATCGGTTGTGAATTTCAATAGCTGCGGAACGTTCGAAAAAATATATCAGCATTAGTACCTCTCCAATATAAGCTGTATAACTTTACATTCCGATTTTTATCACCAAAGTCCAGAGTTCTTTTGCGATAGTGTGAATCGTGTTGAGCCATGCTTTCTCCTTAGCTCGTGACGGGCACCTGCGTTGATCTGATCATTGAAATTGTAAGTTGTGTGCTAAACGGGCTGGGGGATAATCTGAACAAAGAAACTATTTTAAGTTACCACCAATAATGGAACATCATTGCATCGGGATCGCGTTGCATTTGTGTGTCCTGTTGTGGGTGTACTTTTTGGCACTGTTGATTCAAATTAGGCTAACTCATGTATCGGAAAGTTAGTCCAATGGGAGAGGAGATTGTACGCGACAGTTAAAATTTAGATTTTTTTTTCTGTGTAATTGATCGGTTCAAAATACGCAGGCGCTCGGAACTACAAATGGTTTTATTTTTCTTTGTGGAAATTTTGTTGTTATGTATGTGAATTTGACGATTGTTGCGATTTGTTACAGGAAGGGGGGGGGGGGGTTTGTAAAAATTGCATTTTTTTGCGTTACGTAATATTTGAACGGGCAGCCTTCGTTGTTTTTGTAACCTGACTCGGGATGACTCGCACTGACAAATAGTTTGGATTCACACAGGTTGGTAGGGTTGCACCCCTGGAGAAAAAAGACGCTGTTTTTGGCAGTTTTCCGATTGTCAATTTGGACTGGTCTCGGAGCACCCTGAATAATAAACAAATTTGCTAAAAGCTGTACCATACCACTTTTGTATTTGTATATTGTGTGGATAGTACAATGATTCAGAGATACTCAGGGAAGTCGAGTATCCTCGCGTGGGCTGTAGTCAATACAAAGATATGGAAATTTGTATGGACCGTACAGTCAGGGTGCCACCCAAGTAGCATTTATTGTTTTATTGCACTCTATTAGTGGTTTTTGAGATCAATTTTATAAAACCGTCAATAAAATTAATAGCTCCAGCACAACCTTTAGATAACCGCTATAAGATCGTCTTCCAGCTTAGTGGACCACTCTTGATAAGGTTTATAAAGCATGTTTGAGACTCACAATAAAGCTGTCTTAAAACCTTTTGTAAGAAAGCCCCATACTCTACAAAAGGTTCTCATAGCCTCTTTAAGAGTAATATTGTATTCAAGCAGTTTTATTACGCTTTGGTGAAAATCAGTTAATTCCAATTTAATTTTTATTTGCTTCAAAGCAACCGCCATAAATTAGCTTGTTGTTGTTCTGTTCTGCTGAAACTTTTTTTTTCCATATGGAAATCTTTAGCGGTAAAAATAGGTTTGAGTGTTGGTGTCAAGATCACCATGCAATCAATTTTGTTTCATGGCGATATTAGAGAAAATCTTAATTAAAATATATGACTTTTTAGAAGTTCCAAAACATATGCGTTTGAAATTTTATCGTGTATATTGGGATAATATGAGCGTTAAATAAATGTGATTCCAAAATAATTCAGGTTAACAAAAAAGATTGTTTCATAAATTAAAGGAATTTGATGGAAACATCTTAATTTTACAGAAAATAGATCTAAATAAATAAATTCATACCAATGCACACTTGAAATCATTTTGGATCTCTAATTTAGCCATTATTTTATTGAAATTTCTTGGATTTTATTCCAAGGCTAATGGCATTTTCATAATGACAATATGGCGATAGAAGACAGCAGGCAAGAAAAACACCAAGCGCTATTTCTTTAAAATGTCTAATGCTTACATTGCACACTGGGTCAGGAATGCAACCTAGCGGAGCAAAATTAATAACTCCGAAACGAAGCATTTTCGTGACTTGGTGTCTTAGGCAAAGTTTCTCATCATAATAAGGACCATCTATTGACATAAACAAATAGTTCAAAATTCTTCTGCAGAGATGGCGCCACAATCTAACTTCTTTCTCTGACGTTTTGGAGACTTGATGTCTTCGGCAAAGTTGTTTATCTTGACAAAATGAACAGCTATTTCAAAGACGTTAAATTTCCACAGTCTACTGGTTCCAAGTTATATGGAGTTAAAGAAAAAAAAATAATTTTTGGTTTTATAAGGGCAATTCATATTGTTTTTTTTATACTTCAAGGCAATCATAAAACCTTTAATAAGTGAAAACAGCATAAGCATCAGTTGGTTTTTTTTATAAGCTTTATAGGGGTTTTGCAGATAGCTATAAAATGTTCCATGACTTGCATTGTATATGACCGTCATAAAGCTGTAGGTAATGGTTGCAGCTGCAATAAAACCTTTATAAATTTTGAATATAGCCAAGCAGCTCTAGATTTGTTACTTGGACACTGAACCGGAAAACCTGGAGAATAGAAAACAACCGAGAAAAATGTAAATACGTATCTGTCTTGGATACCAACATTAATTAAGTGGAATTAAATGAAAGATAACCTTTTTTGCTGTTTTATTTAAGCATTCCGCTTACAACCCAATTTATTTACTTCATTTTGATGACTACCAAGCCTTTGGGATTTTGCTTATTAAAGAGTTGTATAGAATCCTGATGAATGTGGGGAATACCTGTATAATGAGAGAGAGAGAAGGATTAGTATTTTCCATTTAATTCCACTACTTTATTTGCTTATCCTTGACAGATACGCGTATTTTGTCTACAATGTGCAGACTTCTTCAGTGTCTTGTACTAATACTCGACTGGGCTGTAGTCGAGTATTAGTACAAGACACTGAAGAAGTCTGCACATTGTAGACAAAATACGCGTGTCTGTCAAGGATAAGCAAATAAAGTAGTGGAATTAAATGGAAAATACTAATCCTTCTCTCTCTCATTATGAGTTGTATAGATTTTTCTCCTTTACTTGACTTAAATCTTTGGTTATTAGTTAGGTAGGTTCGGATTCTGCACGTTTTAGTTTTTTAGTGGATTTGAATAGATGATAACCTTTTTTACTGTTTTATTTAAGCATTCTGTTAACAACCATATTTGACCATTTCATAACTTCATTGATTGGAACCTTAGCATATTTGTTCTATATCTATACACCCAACCAGGAGATATAAGACTCTATTACAGATTTTGATGAAAAGTATGCACAATTTGATATATTTCGCTACATGAACAGATTCTGTAATGTAATGTGGTCATGGAAGGTTTTTCTACGACAGCATATTTTTCGAACAAAGTTTGTTTCTCAAAATGCATTGCGTCTAGAAAATCATCGCGTGCTTGTACGCTGAAGTCCATTTCAAGAACTACAATTACATTTGTTGTATGAATAAATCCATCCTTAAATTGGATGTAAAATAAATTTGTTTTGCGTGTATTAATCTGATTCTGTTACTTAAAATTCCAAGTCCGTTTTTTTTTGAATATTTATTATAAAATCTTGAATATTTCTTTATGTTTGAAATTATCTTTTTCTTAGCACGAAATTCCAAAAATTAAGATAAAGATATCAAAAACTTAGAGTATTGAAAATATGACAATTCCAAGATCGTGATAATTTTCCTAAGCAAGGCTTGGATTCTTGATTTTTGGTTAACTTTATAATTTCAAAAGTTCTTCAATGCCCGATATTCGGCATTTTAAATATTTTAGTTTATTTTAGAAACTTGCTCACAGGATCTAGAAAATCTATCCATATCTGGGATATTGAATTTACTTCCGGTGCTTGGCGCTTGAAACAATTTTCAGACTTACGATTTACCTCACAGTTACACTTCCCAGATATTTCTGGTCCCATAATTGTGAACAGATTTCTTAGATTATGATTATGGAATTTGTAAAAAAAATTTCAATGTCTGATTCAACTAAATTAATTCTTTTGAACTTAAAGGGTGGAACGAGCAAAAAGTAGTCTATCAAAATTAAGTGTAGAAAAATAAAGTTAATAAATTAATCATGTATTTTACGTTATTTTTACACCTTACTCTTAAAGGGTGTCCACGATGAAATTGCCACACACAAAATTGATTCGCAAAATTCGAGTTTTCATCCGATTGCCATCAAATTTTCAGGGATTGAGAAATAACGATTAAACTTCATTTTACCATTTTACTCGTATTTTATTTACAGTCCATACGCAAATGCCCGCACCTTGGCCTTAACCCCGGCCATAAGATTCTGCACAACCTGTGAATCAACCGTTTTTTGCATGTAAACCCATACTTTCTTCAGTTCCTCGACTGTCTTCACTACCTTAGGTCGTTTAAGAAGGTGCTGCTTCATAATCGCCCAGTACTTCTCGATGGGGCGGAGCTCCGGAGTGTTGGGAGGGTTGAACATTTTCGGCACGAAATTGACCTTATTGTCCGCATACCACTTCAGCACGTCCTTGGAGTAGTGGCATGAGGCCAAATCCGGCCAGAAGATTGTTGGGACGTTGTGGGCCTTCAGGAGAGGAAGCAGCCGCTTCTGGAGGCACTCTTTTATGTACACCTGTCCGTTCATCGTGTCCTGGGTCACGAAAGGTGCACTCCGCTTCCCGCACGTGCAGATGGCTTGCCAAACCAGGAATTTCTTCGCAAATTTGGACATCTTCTGAGTGCGGACATGCTCCGGAACGCTGAACTTATCCTTGGCCGTGAAAAACAGGTTGCCGGGGATCTGTTTGAAGTCGGCCTTCACATATGTTTCGTCGTCCATGATGCAGCATTCAACTTTCGTCAGCATGTTGAGGTACAACTTCCTGGCACGGGTTTTGGCGGACTTGTTCTGCTTCTCGTCGCGATTAGGGGCCTTTTGTACCTTGAACGTTCGAAGCCCAGCCTTAGTTTTGGCCTTCTGGACAAAACTTCGGCTTAGGTGCAGCTTCTTAGCCACATCCCTAACGGAGGCGTTCGGATTTCGGTTGAAGGCCCCAACTACGCGGTTGTGATTTTTTGTGTTGTACGGAATACTTTTTCCTTCACTTCTGGGCTTCCGATCGGTGGTCAACCGTTCCTCGAACCGCTTAATCACTCGCGACACCGTGGAATTCGCGATTCCCAACGTTTTAGGGATGGAACGATGCGAGAGATCCTTGTTCTCGTGATGAATGCGCATGATTTTATCACGCACGAGCTGTTCTTTCGACTCCATTTCCGCGAGTTTTGATCACAGGACTTTAAAACTTGCAGGATGTAAATAATGCACTATGAACTAAATCCACCCAAATTTTCATTAAATTCTACCCAACGGTTAAAAAGTTAGAGCAATTTCATAGTGTGGCAAATTCATCGTGGACACCCTTTACATAAAGTCTTGATATTGTTGAGTTCACTCTTTGCTTTGCCAAATACAAATTTCGAATTTCACGGT